TTTACAGATTTAGGGTTGTACCTGGTAGGTTTGTTGATCATTTGTGTGAGATTGAGGGCATCTAGTTTAGATTGTAGGTTGGCCGGGGTGTTAAGCATATCCCAGTTTAGGTCACCAAGCACTACGAACTCTGAGGATAGATGGGGGGCAATCAGTTCACATATGGTGTCCAGGGCACAGCTCGGGGCTGAGGGGGGTCTGTAGCAAGCGGCAACAGTGAGAGACATTTCTGGAAAGGTGGATTTTTAGAAGTAGAAGCTCAAACTGTTTGGGCACAGACCTGGATAGTATGATAGAGCTCTGCGGCTCTCTCTACAGTAGATTGCAACCCCACTCCCTTTGGCAGTTCTATCGAGACGGAAAATGTTGTAGTTGGGGATGGACATTTCAGAATTTTTGGTGGCCTTCCTAAGCCAGGATTCAGACACTGCTAGAACATCAGGGTTGGCGGAGTGTGCTAACGCAGTGAATAACTCAAACTTAGGGAGGAGGCTTCGGATGTTAACGTGCAAGAAACCAAGGCTTTTACGATTACAGAAGTCAACAAATGATAACGCCTGGGGAGTAGGAGTGATACTGGGGGCTACAGGGCCTGGGTTAACCTCTACATCACCAGAGGAACAGAGGAGGAGTAGAATAAGGATACGGCTAAAGGCTTTAAGTACTGGTCTTCTAGTACGTTGGGTACAGAGAATAAAAGGGGCAGATTCAGGGCATTATGTACAGAAAAGGATATGGAAGGATATGAGTACAGTGGAGGTAAACCTAAGCGTTGGGTAACAATGAAAGAGATAGCATCACTGGAGGCACCGATTGAGTCGGTCTCCGCGTGTATGGGGGGTGGGACAAAGGAGCTATCTAAGGCAGGTTTAGCTGGGCTGGGGGATCTACAGTGAAATAGTACAATAAGAAATAACCGAAACAGCAATAAGCAAGGCATATTGACATGGGAGAGAGGCATAAAACAATCACAGGTGTAATTCGAGAGAGCTAAGACAACAGCTGGTAATGGCGACAAAGTTTGGGCTGAGGCTAAACATAAACAGGATGCGGTACCGTAAAAAGGAACAGTCCAGCAGGCATCAGCTGTATAGCTGAGTTATCATAAGGTCCGGTGAACAGCAATAGGAGTTCGGGGGCTGCTATAGCACTAGTGAGCAAGAGGCCACGGCTAGCGTGTGCTAGCAGGCCGGGGCTAGCAGATGGATCTTCGTGGTCGACGTCGTAACGGGAAGCCTGTTGTAACCACATCAAACGATTTCGTCGGCAGACCAGTCGTGTTGGATCGGCGGGGCTCCGTGTCAACACTAGGAGGTCAAGTCCGGTTGACAGAGAGGTAGATAGCCGGGAGATGGGCCTGGCTCAAGGCTAGCTCAGGGCTGATTAGCCAACCACAACGTCCATTTGGTTGCAGCTAGCTAGTAGCGATGAATCCGGTGTTAAAGGTCCAGTGATTCAGTGATTCCGGCAGAAAAACATATGTTCTGGGTTGATAACGCGCTGTGCAGACAGTGAAGACTGGCCGAATAATAGTCCAGGCTAGAGCTGGCTGGTAGGTAGTGCAGGCCACGGACAATGGTGAAAAACCGCTAACGGTGGCTAATAGCAAGTAGCTAGTTAGCTGGCTACTCCCGTCCGGTAGACAGAGAGGTAGATAGCCGGGATATGGGCCTGGCTCTAGGCTAGCTCAAGGCTAACTGCTGCTTGCATCGGGGGCAGTGGTGATTAGCCAAACAGCAACATCCATTCGGTTGCGGCTAGCTAGTTGCGATCCGGTGATTAATGTCCAGTGATTCAATTATTCCGGCAGAAAAATCAGATGTTCTGGGTGAAAACCGCTAACGGTGGCTAATAGCAAGTAGCTAGTTAGCTGGCTAGCTAGTTTCAACTGGAGATTCTAGATAAAAGGTAAGTCAATAATAGAATCCGTTCCACATTGAGTGAGGCGGGTTGCAGGAAAGTATATTTTGTAGAAGGATGAAAAGTGTGATAGGGAAATATGTACGAAAAATACAAAAAATACAAACAAAAACAGGCTATTTACAGACACACAACAAAGAACACGACCGCACTGCTACGCCATCTTGGATATGGCGGTTGGCAACCAACTTTAAGGTGCATTATCACCACCAACTGGATATGGACCTCAGTTAATTTTTCAATCACCCACGAGGGTATATGCTCCAAAAAAACAATGAGGAGATGGGAGAGGTGGGACATGCAGAGCGTCAAGCATCAAAAATAGAACCAAGTTCTATTTTAGCGCCTGGCTACGCAGACGCTCATTGACACGCGCAAGTCCCACCTCTCCCATATCCTCAGTGGTTTTTAGGAGCATATTTCCATGTAGGTGATTGAAAAAGGAACTGAGGTCCACAGTCCAGTTGGTGGTGGTAATGCACCTTAAATCTGGTTGCCAACCGCAAAAAGACGACGAAGTAGAGAACACACGATTTTGTGTGACTCAAAATTGGGTAAAATTCTACAAAGATCCAGAAAAAAAGGACCTTGTGCATTTCAGGTAAAATACCAACCCAATGTTTATATCCCAGGACAAATTAGCTAGCAACAGCAAGCTAGCTAGCTAAATGTCCATGAATGTTTCATGTGTTTCGACCTGTCCCCAAATTAATACAGTTGGTTCAGAGTTCGTTTTGATGGATGTACAAAATCAACATGCACGCGATGGTGAACGCACACGCGTGCCTGGTCTAGTCAGCATGTTAGTCACAAGTCTAGTAGCCTACAATCAGTTACCAGAGCAGGTTCACACCTTCCATCATGCTTCCCTTTTTTTTGTTGCTGTGAATCCAATTTATTTGCTATCAAAAATGGTGAATCTATGGCATTATTTAGGATGCTTAAGACAGAAGCTTATACTTTACTAAATACAACTAATTGTTTGAACAATGTGCAGAAAGTGTGGTGTCAAATAAAACGATTTTCAAAATAATATCACTTCGCAGGGATTCGACCCCATTCCCTGTTGTCTGTGAATGGTTCTGGTCCCCGAGACCCCGACTCTACCTGTTAGGGATACCGTTCAAGTGATGCTACATGAAAAAATCCTTACTACATTGGAAGTACGGTGTCCAGTAGAGGTTGGTGTTTGAAAGCAACTTGGAATCGAAGACACTGGAACCACGGCGAAATCAGTGGGATTTTGCATTTTTCAACACACTGTTTGAAAAACCACGTGATCAAACTAAGCTTCAAGACGTCATTGATCACATGATAATGTTTATTTGAAACGAGCATTGGAGCTCCGTTATCAATCATCCCATCACTATAAATGTATATGTATAAAATTGATCACCTCATTAAAAGTACCAGAGAGCCGACTCTGGAAATTTGACGTTTGAAAAGTATATGGTTACAAACAATGTAAATAAATTATTTTATTTAGTTTATTTAACCTTTATTTAACTAGGCAAGTCAGTGAAGAACAAATTCTTATTTACAATGACGGCCTACCCCGGCCAAACCCGGATGACGCTGGGCCAATTATGTGCCGCCATATTGGACTCAATCACGGCCAGATTGTGATACAGCCTGGAATCGAACCAGGGTCTGTAGTGACGCCTCTAGCACTGAAATGCAGTGCCTTAGACCGCTGTGCCACTCGGGAATGAACACTTGTATTTCAGAATCTACATATCTACATACCCCATATTTGAGAGAACACTAAGGAGTATGACACCATTAGGAGGCATATATCGGTTTAAAAAGGGCCTGAAATGACCAATTTCATCATGATTTTCTCAAAAATAATTTGTAATACAATATTAAACATCCTTCCTCCAAATGAAGTTACAATCTGAGAATTGCCAGAACAATCTGAAATACCAAAAATATTTTCCGCTCCCGCCTGGAGTGGAATTGCCCTTGTGTTATTAATAGGTTGTACTGTAGAGAAAAGTAACAATGCTCTTAAACGCAATGAAATGAGTTAATAGGTTGGTTATTGAAAGTATTAAATGCATGCATGTAGAATGGCATGTCACATAACACAGGATGCAGGGCAGAGGTCCATGGTTGTTGTGTAAACAGGACAATGGCTAATGATATTTCATGGGAAAGTGATGCAGTATCTTCAGGTATTCTATTTGTTTTTAATTTTCCACAGCGGTGAGAATCCCTCAAACAGTAAGATAGAGACGTTAACCTTACAGTAATTTGAACCAAGTTCCTTCTCTTCAAAATGTCATCATAAACAGCAGAAGTGCAATGTCTCCTGAATACAGCACCATTCTATTGTGTGGCAGTGATTTTAAAACCAGGAAATCAAACAATACTGAGAAAAATAATGGATGCATTGTCCATTCTCACGTTTTGTTCTTTCGTTTCTGATACTTTGTCACCATGCCTTGTAAACTGGCCGATTAGTGGGAGAGGAAACAACAAAAAAAGGGGAAAAGAGAGAAACAGAAAATAAGAAATACAGCCAACAGATTGTGAAAAATAACAACCCGGGGATGTAGTGTGCCTCAGGATAGATGGAGCTACATTGTTCGCGAAAAGAGGACAATAAGCCTGAAAACAACTGCTGCAGAAAATCTGATGAACATCATCCATACTGCACAGTTTTGGGCATTGATTCAGAATACCAACTCACTCATTCTCTCTCTGACCCCATTGTTTTAAAAGGGAAGAGGGAGTCTAAACTCATTCTCAGAGGCCATGTATGGCTGCCATGTTTACTTCAGTGGTGCTCAGAGGTAGTGTAACCCTGAATCTGCCCATAAAGAGACCTCAGCAGGCAGCTAAACAAGAGGAAAAACAATTAGCACAGGGGAGAGGATTAAACCAGGATCATTGACCAATAGCTGAGAGGATACAATAGCTGAGAGGAGAAAAGAGAGGGAAGAGAGAGGAAAGAGAGAAAAGAAGAGAAGAATGTGGAGAAACTACAAAATCTGGTCAAAATAATGAACAGGTGTTTTCTGACAATTGTATTACTAAGAGAAACCATCCTTCAGGAGAGAGGGAGGGACCTACTTGTTTATGAGGTCATCTTCTCCGTCGCTGTTGACCATCTCGTCCTCGATGGCAGCTTGCAGGTCTCCGATCCTCTTGAAGGCCAGTTTGAGGTCCGCCTGCAGGCTCTGATTGGCTGCTTCCAGACTCTCTATGTCCATGTCCTATTGGGTCAGGATGACACAGAACTAGTGACCGTCACCCCAAAACGCTTGCCCCACCCCACAAATGTGGACTGCACGCTCTTCCTTACCAGCTCGTGCTTCTTGCGGCTGGCCTCAGCCTCCTTCTTGGACAGCTCAGCCATCTCCTCTTTGATGTCCCTCATCTGTCTCTGCATGCGTTTGTTCTGCTCCTTCTCCCTGTTCTCGCCGTTCCCGCGGTGGTCTCTCTCCTCTGTCATCTTCTCCAGGTTCTCCTTAAGACGGCCCGTCAGGCTCTGGGGACGAGGAGACGGAACCGGGTCAGAACTTTCTAGAACCTCATTGAACACACAGCTGAGACGTCCTGCATAGGTGCCGGAACACATTTCACTTTGAAGTTTGTGGTTAATGTAGTTGGAGAAGGGTTAAATTGAGGCCACTGAGAATTTCAATTGAGCCCAGGTGTGAAGAAATCACAGCTGGCCAGAGAAAGATAGTATGGCTGTCGTAAAATTTGGTCAATGACCCAAATGTGGCCTCACAGCTTTTCCTCTACCTCCCACATACAAGCCCCTCTCTCTCACTTGCTCACACACACACACACACAAAACTCTCCCTCCCTCCTTTTCCCACCCCCTCGCTACCTCCCTTTACCTTCCTCTCTCTCTCCCATTCCCTCTCTACCTCCCTCGTCTCACCTCCAGGCGTTTGATCTGGGTCCTCTCGTACTCTAACTTGGTCTCCAGCTCGCGGATCTTGGCCTCCTGCCTGCTTACCAGGGACTTCTCCACCATTGACTGCTCCTGGAACTCCAGCTGGCTATGCAGGGATTGCATCTGGAGGGGGGCAATACACACACACACACACACACACAGAAGAGTACTATTTACACCGCTCTGAACACCCCCACTCTGCCATACACAACAGACCTCTCTCTTCTCTAATCAATACTAGGCCGCCATACTTTTACAACAGATGAGTGTTTATGGCAAAAATAAATACATTCTCCTCTTCCCTTCATCTGCATTGTGAATAGCATCTCTCCCAGCTGAATTTATGGGAATCTAGCCAGCATTATTGTTGCCCTACATGCTATGCGTATCTAATGTTAATATCCAATACGCCAAGGATAACATAACCCCAGTAGCCTGTAATGGCCAGAAGGAGAGGTGGAGAACCAGGCCTGAATAACGATCACAGATTCCACTACACAGCTTTGTGGAGGGGAAGAAGATCAATGCTTTGCAAACTTGTTCCATCTTAAGACTTTTCTCATAACTGATAAGAGGATGAAAGAGATACACTAAATAAAAGTACCCAAAATGCACCAGGGCTACTAATGAGGAGCTTTGCATCTGATAGGAGGATTTGGAGCTGGCCTTTCATGTGATTAAAGAACACAGTGTTCCTATCATAGTGGATCTGTTAATCACTACAGGGCTACAGGATTTAGATGGCTATCTATTGCTGCCTTTGGTGGCAGCTCTTAAAACCCCCTTACAGCCAGCAGTGTTAGCGGTAAGATCAGGCACTAAGCACACAGACAGAGCTCTGAGCCTCTCCAGGTAAAGGTCAAGGTAATAGTGTAGGACAACATGTATGACTGTGCTGAGGGCATGTTGTCCTCTGAGCGGCTGACGAATGTGCAGGACTCCAGTCACCCGAGCCAGTCTGATGACCCTCTTAACATCTGGCAAACAGTATCGGCGCATCGGGTCTCAGACCAACAGGCTCCGAGACCGCTTCTACCACCAGGCCATCAGACTGGTGAACAGCTAACCCTAGCTGTGTACCTGCTCAGACCTGCATCTTAGACTATTTGCATTGACTATCCACACATCCAACCCGTACACACAAGCATACACACACACAGTCAACGCTGCTGTTCCATTTATTAAACTGCAGACAAAGACACTATCCACTTTATATTTGTAAACACAGTCATACTCGATGTTACACATTCATAATTTATACTGAATATCCTATTATTGTGTACATATCAGCTTTATTCTTTTTCTTACTACTTACTTCTACTTGTTATTTTAGATTTGATTGATTGACATTCTACTGCACTGTTGAGGGAGCCTGAAAGTAAGCATTTCACTGCACTGTTTATACCTGCTGTGAACTGTGTATGTGACGAATAACATTTGATTTTATTTGTAGATAGGTGTGACAGGGATGGGTGGAGGGGGATAGGTGGGGGACATTCAGTGGGATCGGGGTTCCCCTGGCGGGCAGCCATGGCAGTTTGTGTTGTAATGTGTACCTTGTCCTGGATCTCCTGCTTCTCTTTCATGGCTTCCTCCAGCTGGGCCTGCAGGTCACTGATCTGGGCCAGGTCTCTGGCAGACTGACATCACAAACGCACAAGAGACAGTTACAGTAGTTTCTTATGTGGAATGGTAACATTGAACGTAGGTATTTCTTCTTAGGAGGTGGGTTAATATCCAATAGTAAAGTATTCCAAATAATATATATTGTCGCAATCTTATTATAATTAATATAATCTCTTGTGGAACAGATTTAATCTCTCTGAATGCTATTTAGTGGCATTTATCTCTAACGTCCCAATACAGTAGCTGAGAGGGATGTATGTGCCATAGTTACAGTGCAGGTCTATAGAAAAGAGGGTGTGTGGGTGTTGGGGGCAGGGTTACCTGGGAGGCGGCAGCCTTGTGTTTCTTCATCAGCTCGTTCATGTCCTCCTGGTCCTCCTCCATACGAGACTGCAGGTCGTTCTTCTCCCTCTGCAGACGTGACACCTGCTCCTCAAGCTGAGAGAGAGGGGGGAGAAAGAGAGAGCGAGAGAGAGAGAGAGCAAGAGACAGAAAGGCAAACTTTATCACCTAATATCAAGCTGTTTTTCAACCAGAGCCAGTGAAAGTAATCAATGGCCATCAGCTGGTCAGTCCCAGACCCAATAAGTATTGAATGGCCATCAGCTGGCCAGTCCCAGACCCAAGCAGTGTTGAATCGCCATCAGCTGGCCAGTCCCAAGCAGTGTTGAATGGCCATCAGCTGGCCAGTCCCAGACCCAAGCAGTGTTGAATGGCCATCAGCTGGCCAGTCCCAGACCCAAGCAGTGTTGAATGGCCATCAGCTGGCCAGTCCCAAGCAGTGTTGAATGGCCATCAGCTGGCCAGTCCCAAGCAGTGTTGAATGGCCATCAGCTGGCCAGTCCCAGACCCAAGCAGTGTTGAATGGCCATCAGCTGGCCAGTCCCAAGCAGTGTTGAATGGCCCTCAGCTGGCCAGTCCCAGATCCAAGCAGTGTTGAATGGCCCTCAGCTGGCCAGTCCCAGATCCAAGCAGTGTTGAATGGCCCTCAGCTGGCCAGTCCCAGATCCAAGCAGTGTTGAATGGCCATCAGCTGGCCAGTCCCAGACCCAAGCAGTGTTGAATGGCCATCTAAATGGATATCAACCCGTGGCCTGGCCCTGGTGGTGGATTAGTGTGATTTACTATAAAACCTGATTGGGTCATTTAGGCCTTCAGACAGACCTGTGTGGCCAAAGCACCATGTATTGGCACTAGTGTCCTAAGGCAGATCATCCGATCTTCTCTGAAGGGAAAGACACCTGTAGGCTCGGCCCTAATTTATGTGCTCTCTGTCACCTGGAAAACAAAGGACAATGCCCAAGGACTAGTCAGCCCTTTCCCCTCTGAGGGGGCCAAAATGTATCTCTGTTACAGTATACAGAGGACTGACTACTGTGATAGAATGTATGGTAGCTATCTGAAACTTGTTCACTGAGGAGACTCTGATGCTATCTATATGGATGTATGATCTTTGTGGTAATTTGTATCTGTACAGGGTGAACTCTGAATTACTCCATTATGCCTAATGCTTGCTTGTATATTTTAATTATCTTTATGGCGTCAGATAAACATTTTAAGTCAAGTGTGATGTATATATAATTTACTGTATATTCACATATACAATAGTACTGCCCACTACACACCCAGCCTCTCAGTATGCCTTCCCAAACTAGAGACATTTAGAAGACCTTTCATAGCCATAAACGCACCAATTAGCAGTTCAGACTACAGGGCCGTCATGACTTTCTGCCCTCCCCAGAGGACCACAAGTGTCACTCTCCTCCCATAATTTTCTCTAAATCACAGAGAGCACTCTCCTGGGGAGACGATTATGGAACGGATTAATGAGGACAAAAAATATAAACAGTTAATTAATCCATTAGCACATAACCGAGAAATGCAACATTTCCAGAAAAAAATACTTATCATTTCAATGTTCCATGATGGTGGGGAAAGATGTGTACATTTTCATGGCAGTGTTTTTACACAATATTAAAATAGTCTGCCGTGTGTGAAAGGGGGAGTAAAAGATGCAACAGGCTCGCCTGCTGTTTCTAATAACACTGTGGTTTGTTTTTGTTGTGCCATCTAAAACGTGATAAAACGCTGTAATTACACAAGGTCATTTGGTGTGTAGTGTTGCAGAGATTACAGGTTTGAACCTCCACTCTTTGTCTCTACACAATGAACACCTGGCTGAGACACACAGAGGGCTGTAGGAGGGAGACTCGTGGTGTATACAACAGTGGACTAATGAAATAAACACCAAAATATAGTTTTTGAGGGGTATTTTCCTTTAAAAGGAAATGGAAATGCAGCACACTGATGTGCACGTCCTCCGTACTCTGTGTGCAGTTCACAGTAGGCATTAGGCAGCTATAATGGTAGGGACTCCTCTCAAAACGATCTTGGCAACGGAAGGATCTCACTCACCGACATCTTGACTTTGACCACATCCTCCATCTGGATGTGCAGGTCCTCGATCTCCATCTCCATGCCCTTACGAGACTTCACCGCCGCCGCACATGTGAACTCGGACTCCTCCAGCTGTGAAGGGAGATATAGCAGGAGGGAGAAGAGAGGGGGAGAGAGGATTACAAGGTGAGGGTCAGGGCGAAAAGCTAAATCAGGATCTTCCGAAATCAGAAAACTCAACACCCTGTCCTTGATCAGGAGAGCAAGCGCAATTCATTTTGACAGGATCATTTGTAGTGGTAGAGCTGTCAGAATGTCACTAAAGTACCAGATTGACATGATGATAATAAGATGGGCCATTTAGCGTAATGTATGGTGGTGTACCTGGTTTTTGAGCTGGGCGGTCTCTCTCTTGCTGGGGGCGTTGTTCTTCAGGTGGTCCAGCATGATCTGGGCGTCAGCCAGCAGCACTTTGGTGTGTTTCAGGTCCTTCCTCAGCCTCTTCTCTGTCTCCACGTCCCTGCAGCCCACCTAGAGTAGAACCCCTAAACAGTAACTACTGGGTTCACCATGAGCTCCCACCTCACAGCAAACTATCAGAGCCCATTACAAGACACAGAGGTAGATCTTGTTGTGATGAACTTGTGGGACATAATAATCAGTATTCCCAGACAACATCAAGGTTAAAGTGGTGGGCACACATATTCACGGCTCGCCCACACACACGAAAAAATGCACTTCACACGCAACACACACCAGACCTCGGTTCAAATTGACCTTGGTTCAAATTGAAATAGGACCTTTCAATTACTTTCAAAGACATTTAGAAATAATCAAAAACAAACTATTTTCAAATACAAATATTAAAATATTCCCATGCATTTGAACCCAGGTCTCTTTGGTATTTCAAATAATCTATTTGGAAATAAGGATTTGAAAATATTTTCAAATCGTGTGCTATTTATAGGAAATTATTTGAAAATACTTTCAAATACTTCCAATAGAAGTAGCTGATTCGGGCCACATTATTTGAAAACTCAAATACACATAAAACAAGTATTTAAATAACAAATAATCAAATTCAAAGGTATTTATTGGTCACATGCATCGTAAACAACAGGTGTAGACTAACAGTGAAATGCTTACTTACGGGTCCATTTCCAACAATGCAGAGTTAAGATAAAAAATATATATAAAATTGAAAGTGACACAAGGAATAAATACACTGTGAATAACGAATAAAAATACCATGGCTAGAAAATAACATGTTTATATACAGGGAGTACCAGTATCGAGACGATGTCCAGGTGTACGAGGTAATTGAGATAGCTATGTATTGTACATATAGGTAGGGGTGAAGTGACTAGGCAACGGGATAGATAGACAGTAGCAGCAGCATATGTGAAAGTGTGTGTGTGTGTGTTGGGGTGTCAGTGTAAGTATGTGTGAGTGTGTGGGTAGAGTCCAGTGTGTGTGTGCATAGAATCAGTGCAAGAGAGTTGGTGCAAAAAAGGGAAAATGAAGGTAGTCCGGGTAACCATTTGATTAGCTAAATAGCAGTCTTGTTTAGAAGTCTTATGGCTTGGGGGTAGAAGCTGTTCAGAGTCCTGTTGGTTCCAGACTTGATGCATTGGTACCGCTTGCCATGCAGTAGCAGAGAGCACAGTCTGGGCCTTCCTCTTACACCGCCTGGTATAGAGGTCCTGGATGGCAGGGAGCTCGGCCTCAGTGATGTACTGGGTCGTACACACTACCCTCTGTAGCGCCTTGCGGTCGGATTCCAAGCAGTTGCCATAAAAGTGGTGATGCAACCAGTCAAGATGCTCTCGATGTTGCAGCTTTAGAACTTTTTCAGGATCTGAGGGCCCATGCCAAATCTTTTCAGCCTCCGGAGGGGGAAGAGGCATTGTTGTGCCTTCTTCACGACTGTGTTGGTGTGTTTGGACCATGATAGATCCTTAGTGATGTGGATACAGAGGAACTTGAAGCTTTCGACCTGCTCCACTACAGCCCAGTCGATGTGAATGGGGGCGTGGTCGGCCCTCCATTTCCTGTAGTCCACGATCAGCTCCTTTGTCTTACTGACATTGAGGGAGAGGTTGTTGTCCTGGCACCACACTGCCAGGTCTCTGACCTCCTCCCTATAGGCTGTCTCGTCGTCTTCAGTGATCAGACCTACCACCGTTGTGTCCTCCGCAAACTTAATGATGGAGTTGGAGTCGTACGGAGGGGACTAAGCGCACACCCTTGAAGGGCCCCCGTGTTGAGGGTCAGTGTGGCGGATGAGTTGTTGCCTACCCTCACCACCTTGGGGCTGCCTGTCAGGAAGTGTCCAAGATCTAGTTGCAGAGGGAAGTGTTCAGTCCCAGGGACCTTAGCTTAGTGATGAGCTTTGAAGGCATTATTGTGTTGAATGCTGAGCTGTAGTCAATGAACAGCATTCTCACGTAGGTGCTCCTTTTGTCCAAGTGGGAAGGGCAGTGTGGAGTGCAATAGCGATTGTGTCATCTGTGGATCTGTTGGGGCAGTATGCGAATTGAAGTGGCTCCAGGGTATCTGGGATAATGGTGTTGATGTGAACCATGACCAGCCTTTCAAAGTATTTCATGGCTACAGATGTGAGTGCTACGGGGCGATAGTCATTTAGACAGGTTACACTTTCGCATTCTTGGGCACAGGGACTATGGTGGTCTTCTTGAAATGTTTTGGTATTACAGACTGGGTCAGGAAGAGGTTGAACATGTCAGTAAAGACACTTGCCAGCTGGTCAGCGCATGCTCTGAGTACACGCCCTGGTAATCTATCTGGCCCTGTTTGAAGGTCTTACATCGGCTACGGAGAATGATAAGGGTTAAACATTAACACCCGCCAAATGTGGGTCAATTTTGTCATTGGCGGGTAAGAATGTCTATTTCACCAGCCACGTTGGCAGGTGGTCACATAGAGCATTTGGGAACATTCCTTTTTTTTATCCAAAGGCCACATGTAGAAGTTGGTCGAATTGACAAGAAAGGCTACTAAAGTGTGACTTTGTCCTCATGTTTTTTGGCCAGTTGGTTGTTTTTCAATGTTAGTTTGAGTTCGCTGCAACTGTCTGCTGCTAGGAAGACGTTCCAGTCAGATATTTTTTTAATCACAGACCAGCAAGTGCCCAAGTTACCATGGTAAAGGGGCAGCTGAACATTTTTGTCTCACCTAATGATTGTGCTTGATTGAGCATGGATCATTCCTAAAAACGTTGTAATTTCTTATAATTAAAACACACAAATACTTTAATTTGTTCTCCTAGATATATTTGTGTGCTTCTACATTTCTACTTAGAAGCACATCATGTACTCCTTGTAAAAAATGTCAGCGTAGAGCCCTGAACTATAATAATAAATAAGCCACATCACTCAGCCTTTTGTGGATGGGTAGGCATTTTGTTGATTCTTGATGTTCAGTTGTAGAAGCAACACACCCCTTTACTTATTACTAGTAATACATTTCTTGTTTTAGAAAAACAAAGCATGCTCATCCGTTTATTTTGTATGTTTTTGGTGTAATTATGGGGCAAAACAAATGACGGTTGGTAAAACAAATTTGAGTGGCTGGTAGATTTCTTTAAATCTACCTGCCACAGTGGCTGGTGGACCAAAAGGTTAATTTCCCACCCTTAGCATGATCACACAGTCATCCGGAACAGCATCTCTCGCATAGTTCAGTGTTGCTTGCCTCGAAGGGAGCATAGAAGGCATTTAAATTTGTCTGGTAGACTCGTATCACTGGGCACTCATGGCTGGGTTTCCCTTTGTAATCCGTGATAGTTTGCAACCCTGTCACATCCGACGAGCATCAGATCCGGTGTAGTAGGATTTGACATTAGTCCTGTATTGACGCTTTGGCTGTTTGATGATTCGTCGGAGGGTGTAGCGGGATTTCTTATAAGCGCCCAGGTTAGTGTCCCACTCCTTGAAAGCAACAGCTCTAGCTTTTAGCTCAGTGCGGATGTTGCCTGTAATCCATGGCTTCTGGTTGGGATATGTACATACGGTCACTGTGGGGACGACATCTTCAATGCACTTATTAATGAAGCCGGTGACTGATATAGTAAACTCCTCAACAATATCGGATGAAGCCCAGAACATATTCCAGTCTGTGCTAGAAATACAGTCCTGTAGCTTAGCATCCGCTTCATCGGACGACTTCCGAATTGAGCGAGTCACTGGTACTTCCTGTTGAAGTTTTTGCTTGTAAGTAGGAAATCAGGAGGATAGCATTCTAGTCAGATTTCCCAAATGGAGGGTGAGGGAGCGTTTTGTATGCGTTTCTGTGTGTGGAGTAAAGGTGATCTAGAGTTCCCTGTAGTTGCACAGGTGACAAGCTGGTAGAAATGAGGTAAAACGAATGTCAGCTTCCCTGCATTAAGTCTCCCTGCATTAAAGCCTTAGTGCCAGCATCTGTTTGTGGTGGTAAGTAGACAGGGAAGAAAATTATAGATGAAAACTCTCTTGGTACAGCTTATCATGAGGTATTCTAACTCACGCGAGCAGAACCTTGAGACTTCCTTAATATTAGAGGTTGTGCACCAGCTGTTGTTAACAAAGAAACACACACCTGCCCTTAAGTTTACGAGACGCTGCTGTTCCGTCCTGCCGATGCATAGAAAAAACAGCTAGATTTATATTAACCGTGTCCTCGTTCAGCCACGACTCCGTGAAAGACAGGATATTACAGTTCTTCAGGTCCCGTTGATAGGATAGTCTGGAACGGAGCTCGTCCAGTTTGTTCTCCAGTCATTGTACATTCGGCAATAGAACAGAGGGTAGAGGGGGTTTATTTACTCTCCTCCATAGTTTCGTCAGGCTGCCCCCAAGTCAGCCTCTATATCTCTGTCTTTTCCTCTTCAGAGTGTCGGGGATTAGGACCTGGTCCTGGGTGAGCAGTGTGTCGGGGATTAGGACCTGGTCCTGGGTGAGCAATATGTCCAGTGCGGCCGAGTCATTGAAGTAGAATTATTCATTCAAATCGAGGTTAGTGATTGCTGTTCTGATGTCCAGAAGCTCTTTTCGGTCATAGGAAACGATGGGGGAAATATTATATCCAACCCATGTGACAACATTTGTACAACATTTGAACCCATGTGTGACGCACACACACAGTGGTCAGTGACAGTGTGATGGTGTACCTGGTCCTGGGCAGACAGTAGCTTGGCCTCCAGCGCTCTCCTCTCACGCAGGACTTTTTGCTTGTCATCATACTCCTCCTCCAGCTGTACCTCCATCTGCTTCAGCTGTAGGATGGACAGACCGACAAGACAAGACAGGAGGGAGGTCAGTAGACTCAGGACAGGAACTACACAGTCATTGGGACAGGCTGACAGATGACCATCACTGCAGTGTCACCCACCAACATCTATCACACCACATGTTGTCCTCATAGGTCTAAGGTTAGAGGGCCAGATCAATGTCATATTACATGTGGCACTATATGTCTGACTGTCAATGTGAAATTACTGTGTGTAAGAAGTTCCCTGCAAATGTGTAATTCTAGAAGTATGTCCTCAAAACGTTCCAAACAACCTGTCAAGTCGACAGCCATTACCAGATCTGGTTGTCATGCCATGACTGAATTCAGAGTGTAGTGTAATTTGACACATGATTGCCTACACATTTAATGTGTGTGTTTGTTGACGTGCCGGTCAGAGCTGTTTGCTGTATACGTGACATGGGTTGGCATGTTGTTACTCTAAAGTGGTGAGGTTATGCATAGGTGATAAAATCACAAATAGGCCTGCTGTGGAAAATACATCAGTCACATATTATGTGCATCCGTCCTACCTTCTTACTGCAGGACTGCCTGATCTCCTCCACCTCCTCATCCTTGCCATCGATGTCTTTGGAGTGGGTCTGCCTCAGACTCACCATCTCCATCTCCAGACGCAGCTTGGCCTGAAGGACACACACACAAACAAATAGACAGTTCTAGACCGAAAACTTCTATATGGGCTCTGTATTCTTCCTTTCTTCACCTGCTCCAGCATCTGGATGGTCCCAGCCTGTTCGTCCAGCTCCTCCTCCTGGTCGTTGACCTTGGCCTCCAGGTCGCGGAGCGTCTTCTTGGTCTTGGACAGCGACGCATCGTCCTTGGACTCCTGGGAGGACAGGTCCTGTAGCTCCACCTCCAGATGCTCCACCTTCAGCTGGACGGCACACAGGTCCATGTCCTTGTCCTGAAGGCAGGCAGGCAGGGGGCAGCACAGAGACATGGACACTCAGAGGACTCCTGGACTAGGCCAGACATACAGAGGACATGGACTCCCCAGGGGGAACGATTACATTGTGATCTATCATCTGTGTCCAGGTTGTACCTGCAGCTGCTGGCGCAGACTGAACAGCTCCCCGGTCATCATGTCTCTCTCCCGGCCCAGCTTCTCTCTCTGTGTCCTCTCGCTCAGCACTTCGTCCTGGGACTGGCTCTGCTCCAAGTCAAACCTGCAACACATAACACTACTGACAAGCCTTCATACACAGACCTCTCCTTCACTCTCCACTGAGTTTGGTCTTACAGACAAACCCAATAAATCATCAATATTACAGATCATTTTCATCCAATAGGTTGTTGGATGCTATGAATGAAGTAGAAGATTTGATGACGCAAGCAACAACACTTTCAGTCTAAGATCAAATATTTAAGCAGGCCCATTTGTTGAATTAAATCACTTAGAACTTAATTCACTGCAATAAGAGGAACCATTTCACCTCCTCTCATCCCACTGAGGACTATTACTAAGAGTACAGCCTCCATTCTAGACTCATTATCAGCACTCAGCTTTAAATGTTAACAGTGGGCTGTTAATTTACAATAGCATTCTCATCATGACCATAATGTTCTATTCAAATGTCTGGGGCAGCCACACTTAGGAGTGTTCAACTGCATTGTGAAGTGTTCTAACTGTCAGGTCCCTTAATTCTCTTCTTTCTTCTCTAAGAGAAGCGGTCCTCGGCTTTGCACAGCTGAAAATGATTACTCCCACAGAGCATCTTCAATTAGCCCCAGGGGAGAGATCACGTTCTGCCACAGCACAAACCTCTCAAGTGCTAAAAGTCTGACTCATTTTCTCAGCTAATGCAATTACACAGATTACAGCCTGACTCTATTCTCTGTTCAAATGAAGAAATGTTTATTTGTCTCCTGGGTAGGTCAGCTAGTGTATGTAAGAACATTTCAGGAGACAAAAGAAACAGGTTTCTCACTTCTCACTCTTCTGGATGGTAAGGCATCTAGTGCTGTATGTGTCCAAATGGAAGTTTCTTTGAAAATTATTTATATAGTAATTGTTCTAAAACCAGAGCTGTTGAATGAAGGCTTTGCTCTTGTGTATTAGTGTGTGTGCGCGCGTGTGCCTGCGAGTGGGTGCGTGTACATACTTCCTCTGTTTCTTCTCCAGGTCGTGGTTGCGGCTCTGCTGGCCCTCCAGGTGCAGCTTGGTGTCCTGCAGCTCAGCCGTCAGTCTGCTACACTTCTTCTTCAGCTGCTGCACAGAGCGCTGCACCTCATCGTTGTCCGCCTGCAGGTCCGTCAGCTACACACACACACACACACACACGTATGAATGTTATGATGCATATGAACATAACTCCGGTGAATATGTGCACCAGAGTAATACATGGTAAGGCCAGAATTAGTGTAACACCCAGGCCATACCCTCCTCTCCAGAGTTCTTTTACTCTGCTGCTCCGTCTCCAGCTTGTCTTCAAACTCCCGCTGAAGTCTCTTCTTGGTGAACTCAGTCTCCCGGATGGCTCGGTCGTACTTCAGACGCCACTCTCCTCCTGTGGGACAGACCAGTGACAGTACATAAGGTCAGGGAGTGACCGAGACAGACCATGTGACATTTGGAGTGACCGATCCTCTAATGCTGGACTGGCTGACTGAACGAGGCTCAACGCTGCTGAGGATCATTAGGATTTAGAAGATTTGCAGTGTCTCTCACATACACATGTTGCCAATAACAGACAAACGTTTCTTCTACCAAACTCTTCATCATGACTTGACAATACAAGTGGAAAAAGCTTCAAGAAACTCAACAAGGGAACAAGAATATCCCTGAAGATATCGTCTCAAGGTAAGATGACATTCAAAGTTCATCAACTACCAGTAAATACTTTTAAAGATTGACCGGACACCATTGAAACAGACTATAGAATCTGTAAGGGTTTAGTGGAGAGGCAGAACCTAATATGGCATATAGAGCTCTAACTGGGCCCAGAGCAGTGGCTGTCAGAGCCTATCTACACTAGAGCAGTGGAGACTAGAGGCGTGTCCAGGTTCATTTCTCAGATGTTTGAGAGGCTCTCCATTCCCCCTTCACACAGGAACACTGTAGCTTTCCACTACGAACAGACATTTGCATATATATAGCATATTGACAGCTTCAAGGGGCCACCGGCTCTGATCCACAATATTATTTTCTCATTTATCTGAAACCTTCAAACTCTGGCTTTATTCCTGAGGGTGTGGGGGCTGGGTACTCGATCGCCTTGATTTAGGGACAAAGAGACTCAAGGACAATAAACTCACAGCATGATGCCTCGGTAAGTGCAGAAGGAGATCAGAGAGAAAGAGAGAAAGGACTAAGGCCTGACAGTGGGCATCTTAATCCCACACCTGTAAATCCATAGAAGATGGGCCAATTCATGGGCAATTTATGTCATTATGCAACTTTTGACCCAATTCTCCTACTGTATGTAGTCTCAAATAATGTACTACTGATGAGTCACACAACACCCTTCATATTACCAGCTTGGAACTATTAAATACCATGGGCCACTTTCTAAGCTGTGTCTGTTTGCCTCTGAAGAAACAGAAGTTGCAATTTACATCCTAGTCTTTACTATGTAATACATGGGTATCCTCTTTTACAAGTAGTCAAATGCATTTCCTTTCCTCAGCCATAATTACAACTGAATAGTCGCCATGCCTACAGTGAGTTTTGTGTAGATAGTCATTAGGCATCAGAAGAACTCACCTGAATCGTCATCATCGTCCACGTCCCCGTTGAGCTCTGCTGTTCTGATGAGACGAGCCTCTATCACCTCTATCTCCATACACTCCATCTGCTTCTTCATCAAGTCAAACATAGCCTAAGGTAGACAGAATATTGAATATTCCCTCTACTAAATATTACGTCCATGCACCAACTTACATGTCCTATTACTTAGGCTCACTGAGAAAAAAAATTGACTAGTCAACAGTAGGTTAAGTACAGCTCCTCAAGAGTGAGTGAGTGTGCATGTGTCGGTCTGTACCTGTAGGTCCTTTATGTCTTTCTCCAGTTTCAGTCTCTCAGACGTCTCGGTCTCCAGCAGCTGGGAATCCGACTCTCCAGTGTTCCTCTCGTCTGCAAGCTCCACTGACAACTCTGAGATCTGGAGGAACACACAGCAGTCAATGTATATGCCCCATGGCCCGGCCTACTCACCATAAAAAGGCTTCCTTATGAAGCCTGAGAGTGATATCCTCAGACTACTTTTCTTATCACAGACGGAGTCAAACAATGAACAACGGTGGACTGTTTGAGTTGATAACCTGACACAGCTTCTGGTGAATAAAGCCAGTATGACTGAGCTAGGGCTGTGGCGGTCACAAAATGGAATCAGCCGGTGATTGTCAAGCATATAACTATCGGTCTCAGGGTAATTTACCATTAATTTAACAAACACACTTAGCATCTCCTGGCTTCCACACATAGCCTATAAGCCACTGATGCAGACCTTTGGAACATTACATTTTAAAAAGTCTAATAAATCCATGTAATATAGCTTACACCTTCACAATAAATCCATTATTTATTTTAGACAGGTCTAAAGAAGCATGATATGAAGAAAATGTAGTCTATTTCAGAAGAACAGAATAGCATTCTCTGAGTTGTCCTTATGTTAGGTGCTGATGTGGCTATGCCAAATGGCTGTGGGCTACACTAGTTCATTTAGCAGACAAAATGTGCTTAGAATTCCGTGGCATTATTTTATAGTATGAAGAATACAATTTAACAAAACAGAATAAAATATAAATATTTTCTCCAAACGATTTGAGGGAGTGCGCACATGCAGCTATTCTGTGTTGAGCAGTTAACAAAGAAATAGGTACTCCTATATGCTTAAGTTAGAGTTATTAATGTAACTTTAGTTGTTCTACAAACATTGGGCTATATGTTTTGATTTTTAATACATTTTAAAGCTGCATGATGCGACTAATGATGATCTGAAAAAAGTTGCTTGAAAAAGCAAGAGCTCTGCTTAGTTTTTTTGCGCAGGCTGTACACACTTCATTAGTCTCTTGTTCACAATTTGACAAGCATGCCTTAATTGTGCCCTTCTCCCTGAGCGCACGCTCTCCATCACGTGTTCGGGTCTTTCTCACAGGCTACAAGTGAAGACAGACAAATGGGGAATGCAACTGCGCGAGTCCTTATCCAATTCCGAGGTGCATATTGAAGATATTGGAAGAACTGTCCACATTTACTTTTCATCAGCCAACAAGATGAGTAGGCCTAATGAACAACAAAAGCACTAGCCTATGTCAATCTACTATCCCCCATAGTAAAAGAATCAACCTATTTTATTCTGTGCAAGAAGTAAATATTCCAAACATAGTCTGGGACAGTTGTGGGATGCAATAGATCCCACATTAATACAACCACTAACATAAAAAAATATATATTTTTTTACGCAATATGGCTGACACAACAGATCAGAACGTTTAGCTTAAAATGTTGATAAACTATTAGGCTATTTCTTCACATTATAAGCGCAGCAATGTGCACATGGCAGTAGGCTATAAGCGGGAATGTTCCATTAGCGGGAAAACACCATTATCAAAAGTGACCGCAAATGCGATTATGCATATAAATGCTTTTATTGTAAAGGTGCATTTTTATGTTGAAAATTATCTTCCCCAAACATCAAACTCACGCGCTGCTTATGTATGCCAGTTAGGCTCTAAATCCCTTGTAAAGCTTAATTTTAAGACGTTTTTTGGCCACTTATCAAGACATATAGGCCTATGGGCTAGGTTACATGAGGTGTGCGACTATGATTCACAAGTGATAATATATCATATATAATTCACAAGTGATAGGCAAATATTGTCACCCATCAGACTATTCTTGATTTAATCTTGTCTTTACATATACTAAATAATGTGTGAAATTTGCTTTGATTTAGAATGGACAATTATCATGCACCTGTCTAGAAACAGGGGCGGCGGGAAAAAATAAATGTCATCTATGCACTTAAATGGAGGGCGCTTTTCCCGTGGTTCATTTTCATGCCAGCCAGGTAGGCTATACTCCTGTTTTAAAGATAAGCAATGTGCTTAATATTAGGAAAGTTGAGAATTAACTATAGTAGGCCTAGCCTACAGAAAGCTGATGGGATCCTCCTCTATTTAGTAGAGGCCATCACTCTGTTTCCTCATGCAATTGTCCCCTGTAGCTCAGTTGGTAGAGCATGGCGCTTGCAACGCCAGGGTTGTGGGTTCGTTTCCCACGGGGGGCCAGTATGAAAATGTATGCACTCATTAACTGTAAGTCGCTCTGGATAAGAGCGTCTGCTAAATGACAAATGTAAAATGTAAAAATTTTATTGCATAGCTTATAGAAATGTTGCGCAACATAAGCTCATGGGCTCTCATGAAGTGTTTGATTCGATTTTCGAATACATTTGCATTGATGTCAGAGTGATTAGAGGGACAATAGAGTGCTGAGTACCAGGCAGTAAGCAAGTTTGGTAGGCTTCTAATGACCATCAGCAGCATCAGAGCTTGGAGAAGAATAATTACCGTGACTAAAAGGTCACGTGGAATTTGACTCCCTTCATGACTCGTGACCGCCAGTGTGGCGGTAATACGTCAGGTAATACGGTCACCGCAACAGCCCTAGACTGAGCTACTGTCTACCACTTCTGCAGCAAATGCTCTCCCAGAAAGCAGTGCATAGAAGAAAGGCCCCAGGAGATTCACCCTGCTCTCCAGTCGATCACTGTTCAGTCTCAGTTCGTTTCTCTCTTTCTCAGTCTTCTCCAGCTTCCCCTTTAGATGCTGGATCTCCTCCTGGAAGAGAACATACAGTACAATGAAAATTATAAGAATGGGAAAGAGACAGTAGAAACAGCTGAGGTAGCCATGTTGGAATCCTATGCAACACTAAGGAGATATTCATCACTCCCAGCTGACATCATACAGCAATTCTGGAGACTTGAATCAGATTTGCAGTGGGTGTGAGGTTGGATGGCTAAACAGGCTAACATGTATAGTACAGAGAGAGACACTCACGTCTTTTCCTCGGATCTGTTCCTCTGTGAGCTGCACCTCAATGAGGGGCCGTACGGTGGTAAACAGCTTCCACCAGGGCCAGCCCTTCACTCCTTTGTTCTTTGTGATGTTCTTCTGGATGCAGCGGATGGCCAGGTCATGGGTCTGGTCAGCACACAGAGAGAAAGAGTGGGTGTGACCATACTGGTCTGTACTGTATGGGGCTGAGAGTGGGAATGCAGAGGAGCGAGTGGAAGCATAATGCAGTACAGTGCAGAGGTAGTGCTGCAGAGCCATCTCTACTAGGCCTACAGAGTACAGAGATCGTCAGTGTGTTGCGTGGATCTCTGGTCTTAACTGTAGAGAATGAATATCTCATCAGATTAGTATTATCAGTCTAAAGTCCAATGTGATTCACTCTAGTTCTCGCTGAACCCCACATGTATATTGAATAACGTGCCATTTTTGATCTTGAGAAACCCTAGCCCTATTAGCCTCCATGTTCTTGACACACAGAATTGATGGAATCCCATATTGTTTTGCAGAATCGACTAACCAACCAGGCCTCGTCAGTCAGCCTTCTCTGGAGGGTTGCTACTACAGAGCATGTTCCAAGGCTGGAAGCTCTTTTGATTAATTAAATCAATACATCTTGGCAGCCGATTCCAAGTGTTACACGATTTCCATGCGGCTTGTGCCGGAGCATCTCTAGTAACGGCAGATTATGGCAAAACCCAATTAGAGCAACACAATATTCTCAGCATTCCACCCCGAAGGCCAATTAGGATTTGTCACACCATGAAAGCCGAAACACAATGCTACATTCAGCAAATCTGAGACAGACACATTCAACAGGACTCATTTGTGATGTTTAGACCATAATGAATAAGGCAAACAGAAGATTAGGCCACTTGTAAGACGAGAATAAACACAAGGCTATTCATATTGAGAGGGTATGTCTGTCTACTGTATATCAGTCTGGAGAGAGGATGTGAATCCTGGGCCAAGATTCAGACAATAATCTAGGACTAGGGGGTGGATGTCATTTGCAGGGTGATAGCTTTGGTTTGTTGGGTCTTTCTCCTTGCCCGAGGTGTGGGTGTGCCTGTGCGTGAGTGTGTGTGTGTGTGGTGAGCATGCATACATGCACTGTGCATGTGAAGACTGAGCACTAATTGACTGTGCAGGAGAAGCACCAGACCACGCCACCTGCTTCCACTCAGCACCGCACTCCCAGACTTAAAACAAGCGCTTCATTAAGAAGCCCATCGGCTGCTCTGTTCAATTGCCCCTGGCTGCCAGAGGTACAGTGGGGAGAACAAGTATTTGATACACTGCCGATTTTGCAGGTTTTCCTACTTACAAAGCATGTAGAGGTCTGTCATTTTTATCATAGGTACACTTCAACTGTGAGAGACGGAATCTAAAACAAAAATCCAGACAATCACATTGTATGATTTTTAAGTAATTAATTTGCATTTTATTGCATGACATAAGTATTTGATACACCAGAAAAGCAGAACTTAATATTTGGTACAGAAACCTTTGTTTGCAATTACAGAGATCATACGTTTCCTGTAGGTCTTGACCAGGTTTGCACACACTGCAGCAGGGATTTTGGCCCACTCCTCCATACAGACCTTCTCCAGATCCATCAGGTTTCGGGGCTGTCGCTGGGCAATACGGACTTTCAGCTCCCTCCAAAGATTTTCTATTGGGTTCAGGTCTGGAGACTGGCTAGGCCACTCCAGGATCTTGAGATGCTTCTTACGGAGCCACTCCTTAGTTGCCCTGGCTGTGTGTTTCGGGTCGTTGTCATGCTGGAAGACCCAGCCACGACCCATCTTCAATGCTCTTACTGAGGGAAGGAGGTTGTTGGCCAAGATCTCGCGATACATGGCCCCATCCATCCTCCCCTCAATATGTTGCAGTCGTCCTGTCCCCTTTGCAGAAAAGCATCCCCAAAGAATGATGTTTCCACCTCCATGCTTCACGGTTGGGATGGTGTTCTTGGGGTTGTACTCATCCTTCTTCTTCCTCCAAACACGTCGAGTGGAGTTTAGACCAAAAAGCTCTATTTTTGTCTCATCAGACCACATGACCTTCTCCCATTCCTCCTCTGGATCATCCAGATGGTCATTGGCAAACTTCAGACGGGCCTGGACATGCGCTGGCATGAGCAGGGGGACCTTGCGTGCGCTGCAGGATTTTAATCCATGACAGCATAGTGTGTTACTAATGGTTTTCTTTGAGACTGTGGTCCCAGCTCTCTTCAGGTCATTGACCAGGTCCTACCGTGTAGTTCTGGGCTGATCCCTCACCTTCCCCATGATCATTGATGCCCCACGAGGTGAGATCTTGCATGGAGCCCCAGACCGAGGGTGATTGACCATCATCTTGAACTTCTTCCATTTTCTAATAATTGCGCCAACAGTTGTTGCCTTCTCACCAAGCTGCTTGCCTATTGTCCTGTAGCCCATCCCAGCCTTGTGCATGTCTACAATGTTATCCCTGATGTCCTTACACAGCTCTCTGGTCTTGGCCATTGTGGAGAGGTTGGAGTCTGTTTGATTGAGTGTGTGGACAGGTGTCTTTTATACAGGTAACGAGTTCAAACAGGTGCAGTTAATACAGGTAATGAGTGGAGAATAGGAGGGCCTCTTAAAGAAAAACTAACAGGTCTGTGAGAGTCGGAATTCTTACTGGTTGGTAGGTGATCAAATACTTATGTCATGCAATAAAATGCAAATTAATTACTTAAAAATCATACAATGTGATTTTCTAGATTTTTGTTTTAGATTCCGTCTCTCACAGTTGAAGAGTACCTATGATAAAAATTACAGACCTCTACATGCTTTGTAAGTAGGAAAACCTGCAAAATCGGCAGTGTATCAAATATTGTTCTCCCCACTGTATATGTCAGGAAATAGAACACACAATGGAACACTGGGCTGTGTGTGTTTCAAAAGAAAACATCCTGTTTTCCATATGCCCCCTCCACTACGAGGGAGAGAGGAGAAAGGCATACACGTTCAAAGAGAAATTGTTCCTTCTGAAATGGATGTTACAGTGCCTTGCAAAAGTATTCATCCCACTTGGCATTTTTCCTATTTTGTTGCATTATAACCTGTAATTTAAATTGATTTTTATTTGGATTTCATTACATTTACATTACATTTTAGTCATTTAGCAGACGCTCTTATCCAGAGCGACTTACAGTTAGTGAGTGCATATATTTTCATACTGGACCCCCGTGGGAATCGAACCCACAATCCTGGCGTTGCAAACGCCATGCTCTACCAACTGAGCTACAAGGGATCTCCACTCCCCTCAACCCACTTCCCTTCACCACTCACTGGACATACATAAAATAGTCCAAATTGGTCAAGTGAAATGAAAAAGATAACGGAAAAGTGGTGCGTGCATATGTATTCACCCCCTTTGCTATGAAGCCCCTAAATAAGATCAGGTGCAACCAATTACCTTCAGAAGTCACATAATTAGTTAAATAAAGTCCACCTGTGTGCAATCTAAGTGTCTCATGATCTCAGTATATACACTTCTCAAAAAAATAAAGGGAACACTTAAACAACACATCCTAGATCTGAATGAATGAAATAATCTTATTAAAATACTTTTTTCTTTACATAGTTGAATGTACTGACAACAAAATCACACAAAAATTATCAATGGAAATCAAATTTATCAACCCATGGCGGTCTGGATTAGGAGTCACCCTCAAAATTAAAGTGGAAAACCACACTACAGGCTGATCCAACTTTGATGTAATGTCCTTAAAACAAGTCAAAATGAGGCTCAGTAGTGTGTGTGGCCTCCACGTGCCTGTATGACCTCCCTACAACGCCTGGGCATGCTCCTGTTGAGGTGGCGGATGGTCTCCTGAGGGATCTCCTCCCAGACCTGGACTAAAGCATCCGCCAACTCCTGGACAGTCTGTGATGCAACGTGGCGTTGGTGGATGGAGCGAGACATGATGTCCCAGATGTGCTCAATTGGATTCAGGTCTGGGGAATGGGCGGTCCATAGCATCAATGCCTTCCTCTTGCAGGAACTGCTGACACACTCCAGCCACATGAGGTCTAGCATTGTCTTGCATTAGGAGGAACCCAGGGCCAACCGCACCAGCATATGGTCTCACAAGGGGTCTGAGGATCTCATCTCGGTACCTAATGGCAGTCAGGCTACCTCTGGCGAGCACATGGAGGGCTGTGCGGCCCCCCAAAGGAATGCCACCCCACACCATGACTGACCCACCGCCAAACCGGTCATGCTGGAGGATGTTGCAGGCAGCAGAACGTTCTCCACTGCGTCTCCAGACTCTGTCACGTCTGTCACATGTGCTCAGTGTGAACCTGCTTTCATCTGTGAAGAGCACAGGGTGCAAGTGGCGAATTTGCCAATCTTGGTGTTCTCTGGCAAATGCCAAACGTCCTGCACAGTGTTGGGCTGTAAGCACAACCCCCACCTGTGGACGTCGGGCCCTCATACCACCCTCATGGAGTCTGTTTCTGACCGTTTGAGCAGACACATGCACATTTATGGCCTGCTGGAGGTCATTTTGCAGGGCTCTGGCAGTGCTCCTCCTGCTCCTCCTTGCACAAAGGCGGAGGTAGCGGTCCTGCTGCTGGGTTGTTGCCCTCCTACGGCCTCCTCCACGTCTCCTGATGTACTGGCCTGTCTCCTGGTAGCGCCTCCATGCTCTGGACACTATGCTGACAGACACAGCAAACCTTCTTGCCACAGCTCGCATTGATGTGCCATCCTGGATGAGCTGCACTACCTGAGCCACTTGTGTGGGTTGTAGACTCCATCTCATGCTACCACTAGAGTGAAAGCACCGCCAGCATTCAAAAGTGACCAAAACATCAGCCAGGAAGCATAGGAACTGAGAAGTGGTCTGTGGTCACCACCTGCAGAACCACTTCTTTATTGGGGGTGTCTTGCTAATTGCCTATAATTTCCACCTGTTGTCTATTCCATTTGCACAACAGCATGTGACATTTATTGTCAATCAGTGTTGCTTCCTAAATGGACAGTTTGATTTCACAGAAGTGTGATTGACTTGGAGTTACATTGTGTTGTTTAAGTGTTCCCTTTATTTTTTTGAGCAGTGTATATACACACCTGTTCTGAAAGGCCCCAGAATCTGCAACACCACTAAGCAAGGGGCACCACCAAGCAAGTGGCACCATGAAGACCAAGGAGATCTCCAAACAGGTCAGGGACAAAGTTGTGGAGTAGTACAGATCAGGCTTGGGTTATAAAAAAATATCTGA